AGAGGAGCTGAAATGGATGACTGCGACAGTTAACGGACCGCTTGACGATAACTGACAATGCTCGTTTAATTCCTCAGCAACACTCGGAGAACATGTGCGTATTTACCAACAGAATATTTTGTGTTGTGTATTAGGTACTGCGCATATTAAAACAAGCTGTACAATCAGGTCAGATAAAGTGGTTATAAAAGTAAGACACTACAGTTACAGACTTACATGTGGTCAAAAAGCGATGGTTTTCAATGTCTCGCATAGAATCCCACTAGAATCAGCCAAGTCAATACTGCTTAATGCTAGCGATGTTTCAAAATTCTCCTGCATATGCCTTAGACTCCAAAAAGGGTCCCAGCACTACCACTGTGCGCTACTTTTTGAATTACCAAAGGAGTATTTAGCTTAAGAGTTTGTGAAGCAACAAAATCAAATTGTTTGCAAAACTAATTTTAAAAGTCATTCCCGACAGAACATGCATTGGGAGGTAAGAGAGATGTTTCAAACTTCCTAACTACCCAACCTAAGTACAATTTCATCCGATGGAGAGATTGGTACTCAACCCAGCAACCCTCCATCTGGAATGCACCCACCTATCTCCCCTCAACGGGAGAGCCACAAACATAGTCAACTCCAAAAGGCCCCTCCAGCTAGATCTGATCACGGGAGAGTTGGAATGAACCTAACTGTAACACCCTCACTTCTCAGGCCGAAACAACGGCATCTGGAGTCACCCAGGTCACCAACGTCCCCTAAGCTCCCAACACACCCATCCTTCACCCAAAACTCAGGTAGTCTGTCCTCACCTAGCACAGATACTCGCCCCAGTTCGACACTTAGTGTATCCAGTTGCATTCAGCCACCCCAGGGTGCACGACGAATGAGCCCCTCTGCGAGTTATAACAGACTCTCACTAAGATCAACACCACCTAATCTTTCCCGTACCTGATTCCTCGATTTGCCGTGCAAAATTTCATACGGGATTGCAAACGCTACCCCGGTTCATGGCGCAGCAAACCCCATTTCGAGGACTATACGTAGACCCTAAAATAACCCCTCACCTACTCTTCCTTCCCTGATTCCTGCATACTCCCCGTTTAATTTTAACAGCCATCTTCATAATCTCAATCCAAGCCCTTTCTTTTCGCTTGTTTCATCACATTACAGACCACTCACCTCGTTACTTTCACCCAACGCTTCTCCCCTCCTTGCTAGTGACAATAAACTTTCACTAGCAGAAACTAGGTATGTAAAGTATGATACACGTCAATCCCCGTCTGACTACTGTTCATTTCTCGGCTCAACCACCCCTGATCCCTTCTGTCCCGCCGAGTGCCAAATTTCCAGCAACACGGCATCGGCCCACCATGCATCGTCCAACAACTTCCAAAGGCAGCTGAAGGGTGACTCCCAAAATAAAGAATCATTCTTTTCAGTACTTCTAATTAACTCACGTTCTATACTGAATAAAGTGCACCCGTTGCAGCGCGTCGCTTATACCACCAAATACGATATTATTCTCATCACTGAAACATGGCTAACCTAAAGTACCCCATCCACTTCCGTCTCATTGCACGGATATAGATCATACACTAGCGACCGGGTTGACCGCAGACGGGGAGGCTGTCTAACCTATGTAAATACAGGTATATGAACCCCGTTTGAGCATAGCCGCTCAAATGGTGTCGGTGCTAATTGAACTAAAATATCCCTCGAAAAATCTTGTTACCTCTTTTTAACTTCCATCCGCGAAATCTAGTGCTTCTACACTCTCCCGTGTGCCTGTGTTGGCTTGCACGTACGCATAAAAGCTTTTCGGGTTATTTTTGACTCCTCGCGCTAAGTTAAACTCAGATTCATATTTGGCACGTCTTTGGAGATCTTGACATCTGTCGCGCACCCGCTTGTAGTCACTCCACGCTTGTTGAGTGCTGTAAAGCCTAAAGCGATCCTAGTATTGTCGACAATTTTTCAGCGCCCTCTCCATCTCGGGTTTCCACCATATTAGTCTATGTCTGGTTGGTCCTTCCCTCAGTGACACAAACCTTTCTGTGAGGTTAGTTTACCCTCCTTTAACTACGTTCAATCTATCTTGCACGGTACACTCCGGGGACGTCGGGTACCAGCTGATGGTATTTGCAGCTTGTACCAAATTTTTGACGTTTATGCGACCATAGAGGCGCATAAAGGTAGGTCCGTGCCTACGATAACTAACCATTAGTCTAAAGCGAATAACTTCGTGATCACTTTTACCTAACGGTTATTCCATAACTAGACTAGTTATGTCCGAGGAGTACCTTGTGACAACTAGGTCTAGCAGCGAGTGTCTGTGATGTCTCCGGTATCTCGTTGCCCTTGTCACATGCTGTGTCAGAGCTCTTTCTTGTAGAAAGTACAAGAATGCAGTCCCTGGTGATCCTGTNAAGCGCTGGTATTTCGCCAGCGTTTGTTATAGTATCACAAGTAGTTCCGTCTCTTCCTCTGGCGTTGCATTAGGGGCTCTATATATGCATGCTACGGTCACTTACTTCCGTCCCAGTTGAACACAGCATCCTGTGGCTTGGATGTGCCGAGTGGCTAACTCCAGCTGCATTTCCCTTTGGTTTAGGGCAGCCTTGACGAGCATCAGTACTCCGCCCCCTGTCTGCCGTCAGTCCTGTCATTCTTATGGCTTGTGTATCCGTTTAAATGGGCAACGGGTTGATCCTTTTTCAGCCACGATTCAGTAATACCGACTATGTCTGATCCCCGGGAGCGGGATTCTAATTCTCCCTACTTGCCTTTGATTCAAGCAATCGTGTACTACACTGTGATGATTTCTGCTTGTAGAGCTGACGAAAATGACCTATCTATAGCATCAGAATCCTCAGGCCTAATACCCTAGGAGCCACCTCGTTTTTTGCTATAATGTTCTCGGCTGACCACGACAGTCCACCTTTGGCTTCACCTACATCCGTAACTCTGAGACCTAACACCGGACTCAGAAGGTTTTTCAGGTATGATGGCCCAGTGGAGTCCTCATTCATCAGGGTTTCCTTGTGCCGAAGTGTATTGGCCAAAACCGTGGCCCAGCTGCGGGATCCAGATGACCTCTCCGGTGTTTCCAGCGGTCCTGTCTTGTGGGCGAGACGCTGTTCCTTTGCAGGAGCAAGAACCTTTTTGCCTCCTTTCATGCGCCTCCGCTTTACATCCTCGGTTTCTAGAGCAGGCGCAATGTGTTTGGAAGCTACCTTGATTCCCATGACTTTGTGTATGGTTTTGATGTGAGGTCTCACGCGCTGTACGACAATGCTCGACTTACACATCGATTTACTCGAACGGGATGCTTGCCGCTTGTTTGCAGCCTTAGTTGTGCTCAAGACGCTACTCCTAGGTTCCTGTTTTCCGGCTGTTACCGTGGCCTTGGGCATCTCCCCAATTCTTTGTAACTTAACTTCAGGTTTGCGAACTGCAATCCCCGTTTGTCTTGTTACAGTCAGGAAAGGGCGCCTGCAAACCAGTGCACCATTGTCCGGGGTAATTGCTACAGCTTCCTAGTGACGGTTTCAATGAGTACAGCCTGGATAGTAGCATATCCCTAGCATGCATTCTACCAAGTGACACCAGTAAAGGACGTGGGTGAAGTGCCTTTTCTCTCTTCCACAGTCACACTCTGGAACACTTTACAATGCTCGTTGTGGGGTCATTCCCGCCAAGCAACGAACATCCAGCACATGTCTACGGTCAATCTCACGGCGAGATCTGCCATCTCTGATCATGGGTTCATCGAAGTTATAAAGCAATAAAATTCTCTCCCGACCTAGAATAGGCTGACTAATCTGCTTCAGGAGAGCCAGCTCCTGTTCTAGGCGCTCCAACCTTAGGCTTATATCTTTCGGCTCCGTCTTCTTGAAGCTAGCCGGTGTTGACGGCCTGCCGGTAAGTCTTGTTGCGGGTCTCAAAGTGCGCGCGACCTCCGAGTGCCTTGTTGTCCGAGGTAGACAAAAACAGTCGTGGGGGTAGTAGACGTTTATTGGCGTACCTTGGTTTTGGACAGTACGGAATACGTGCCAAGGTGACGCTAACCAATGCGAGCAATAAATGCAGTAGCATAGCGAAAGCATGCCACACATGTGGCGTGGATTTGACCAAGACCCAGCTTATATATACACCTGAACGGAAAACCGTGCTCAGTAAAACGAGCAGAAGTGAAACAAAGAAGTATCACATTTGGAGTCAGAGTTGATTGTGAAGAAAATATGAACGGAAAACGTCCTCCTGGATTGCTCCTTTTCTTTGTACAATCATGGTCACTACAGCAGCCCCCCGCTACAAAGCAAGCGAAAAGCTTTCGATTCGGAAACGAGTTTGAAAAGCAGGCAATCGTTAGTGTGTAGCCGTGCTGCAAGGCATGGACTGACAGAATCGCTGGTATGTGTGGACTGCTTTGCGTCAGTCAAACTAACCAGATTCGTCGCATCGAATGTCAGCATAGGAACCATAGTGACTTATCCTCAATCGGTCATTGGAGGATTCACACCATCCGAATCGTTAGTTGCATCATGGTGTCAGTTGGGTCTCGTCGTTTCCAGAATCCGTGATCGTTGGCGTGCCAGAATGAACGGAGTATACCACTTGTTGTTCATGTATGCGACCGTGGAAACGTAAATCGTCTTCAAATACTATCCAGATCCAAAGGGGTCACAATCGGGCGAGAGGCTGCCAAAATTCTCGTTGAACTTCGAGGCAATCGATGTGCGTTTGCTATGACCTGATTTCTGGAAGTGAAAGATTGTCGGAGAAAACCGATGTAGCATCCTAACGTTCAAAATTGCTGCATCAATCATAAACAATCATTGAGCATACAAAACAAATATCAAGATAAAGCATCCCATGATATAAGTTGTAATAGAAATTGCTCACGTTATACGCTTGTGTCGATCGTGTTTCGCTCAATCCCGCAGACGGGCAGGCAAAACAATCCTTCGACCCGAACGTGAGACTGATGTCCCGTCCTGGTCTGATAAGCTGTTCGCACACTGCTGACCTGAACGTGAGACAGTTGCCTCATTCGAAATCGTAGCATGTACTGCTATCTGCGAGCTCGACTCTGAGGTACGTGCCTCAATCATCGGCCCTTCAGGAGAAACATTCGGTCTCGAACAGGCGTGAGCCATGCAATCTTCGACATATGCTGCCTCGAGCCGTTCGATGTTAATCGTATCGACACGACCATGTCGATCAACCTTGAAGAACTTTTAGTGACGCGAAATAGCTCGAAAAGGTCCTTCGTAAGGCTGTTGTAACGGTTTACATACCGCATCAATTCGAATAAATACGTGCGAACAAGTTAGGAGTTCAGTGGGTATGAAAACCTTCCGTTGCTGTTTTCGGGTTTGTGCCGGAGACAAGGATTGCATTTACGTAGACAAACGTTGCACGTAGTCCTGTATTCCGATGGAATCCATGTTGCGTGGCATGAAAAATTCTCCAGGCAGCCGTAATGTAGTGCCAAATCTAGCTCAGCAGCTGTACATTGGATATCTGCCTTTACGCATGTTCTGATGCCTAACAGAATAAGAGGTAACGTCTCGTACCAATTAAGGTTCTCGTGTGCCCGATGGACACCCTTAAGTTGACGGTGAAACGTTCCACTAGACCTTTGGATGCTGGATGGTAAGCAGTTGTGCGGATGCGTTCTGTACCCAGCAATCGTGTTAGCGAAGAGAATAATTCTGATTCGAATTGTGCTCCTCAGTCAGTCGTGACTGTAAAGGCACATCCGTCGAGTGCNGAGCCACTGCTGCGGCCGTAAAAGTAGAGATGAGGATAGCCTCAGGCCATCTAGTGAACCTGTCAATACACGTGAGTATATGAGTATATCCGTGTGACAGTGATAATGGGCTTACAATATCGATGTGAGCGTGATCAAAGCGAGCATCAGGCGTAGCAAACGTACCGATAGGTGCAGCTACGTGCCTGTGCACTTTGGATCGTTGACATTGTAAACACTGTTTAGCCCATATGCAAACGTCCTTATTCATGGATGCCCAGACGTATCGCGCAGCAATCGAACGAAGTGTTACTGGGATGCTGGGGTGTGATAAACCATATGGTAAACCATGATAAACCATCTCTGTCTACTTTAACACGATGAACGTTTGACACTTTATATCGTGTCCGATACTGGCTGTTTTCATTTCTCTTCTCCGATTGAACTTAACCCAGAATAGCACAATTAATTGACATGTATAACATTTTCAATTATTCCGATTTCTCCTCCGTGGATTTTCTTCTACATACATACTTAGCAACAGGATTACAAACTGTCAGAAATGTGCTACCTTGTTCACCTTCTATTTTATCAATCCCCGAGTGTACCAAATGTCCATCGACCATTTTGTGGTCCTCTTTGTTTTTTGCGCCTAAACGTGATTGCGTTTCTTTGTTTTTAACCCCATCAAACTCTGTCGACCAAAATGTTCTACCATTTATTGTACAAAATGATCATGCACTCTAGCATGCCTCATGACATTTGTGGTGAAATATACTATTATTATTATCTTCTCTAAACTTGATCTCGTGCGTGCTTACCACCAGATACCCGTTGGCCCTGATGACATCCCAAAGAAGGTGGTGATCACGCCGTTTGGTTTCCTCGAAGTTTTTCGCATGCCCTTTGGCTAGCGAAATGCTTTTCAAACCTTCCAACTCTTCATTACCAATGTTTTCCGAGGTCTAAACTTTGTGTTTGCCTATTTCGATGATATTCTTTTGTCAGCACCAATGAAGCTGAACATCTTACTTACGTCTCATTTTCGATAGGATCCGTCTCCATGGCATCACTATCAACCCAGACAAGTGCGGGTTCGGCCTCACCTCCCTTACTTTTCTGGGGTATACTATGGACCAGAGAGGTATTCGTCCTTCAGAATCAACGGTTAAAGACATACATCATTTCGCCGTCCCCAGTACGGCTCAAGACTTGCGATGTTTTCTGGGATTGATTAATTTTTATTATTGTTTTATCCCGCGTTGTGCTCAGATAATAAAGATAATAATAACAGATAATAATAATAACAACAATAACAACGGTATAGTTAACGAGGCCCGTGCGAATGATCAAATGTACAACAATGTAAATGTCAGCCCATGACCGATCTACTCCGCGGAAACACTAAATCGGTAACTTTCAACGAAGCTGCCCTCCAGGTATTCAAAGCTCTTGAAGAAGCACTTCCAGGAGTTACACTTCTAGCTCACCACTCTCCTGAAGCGTCTCTTAGCCTGGCCGTTGATGCTTCCAACGTTGACGCAACAACTCGTTGATTATGAGTGGCAACCTTTAGGTTTCTTTTCTCGTCGGTTCTCGGAAGCCGTACAGCGCAATGACACTTTCAGCCGTGAGCTGCTAGCTATAATGATAAGAATTCACCCTGAAAGGTCCGCCAGTTAGACTATGTTTGGTGATTGTAGTAGTAGCAGAAGTAGTAGCGTTGTGAGATACTACTCGCTTGTGACTAGTCGGTAACTTTCGGTGAATAAAAGTAGAACAAGACCATCGAGGACCAAGTAATATGTTTAGGAAGAATAAAAACTACCTGCTCTACCCATTACTCTGTGTCGCGATGTTATGCAATGGCATGTTTATGATAAGGTTTCCGTGTAATGCGTGCAAAATTTGGACATTCAATTTATATTCTGCAATAAAGAACTCTCCTCAACCAGCACTGCCTTTTGGGAATATAACAGCATTAGTTGTAGGAATGTGGAACATAAACCACGCAATAGGAATCAGAGGAAACAAATCGAGGATCAGCTATCACGGACTGGATTGCGGAAGCACTGTACCGCAATAGCACGAGCTCGCAATATCTCACGTGAACGAGACGCGAGGAAAAAGCCACAAGAAAAGTAGTTCGTAGATCGTTTATTGAAAGAAATAAAAGGGAATAAATAATATGTACAAAAGAAGATCATTGGTTATCTAAGCTTCCACTAATCGTATAACAATACTGCTTGCATAATTCTGCTTCTGTCTGCACTGTCTCAGATTGGCTAGCACAGCCTACCAAAAGCGTGTAGTCAGAAGCTGTACGCGTGTCACTAATGTCACCTTTCAAATTTAAATGATTGCAGGTGTCCAGAAGCTCTGACGCGCCGCTCCAGGGTAGGCAAGCCTGGAACACCACACGATGTCTCTCAGTTCACAACTGATATAAAACATATTTCTGGCACTGCAAATGTCGTGACCGATTCCTTG